TTTTCAATAACTAATAATCTTAAATAAAAAACATTAAAAATAGCTAAATAATATAACAAAATATTTAATATTACGTAATAACATTAAAATAAATAAAATTCAAATAATGAAAAATTTTAAATATTTTACATATTATTTAAATACTTAACATGACAAAATTTTAAATAGTTAAAATAATGAAATTATGTATTAAATTTAAAAAAAAAAATCTTAAAAATAGAAAAATAATTATAATAGAATTCATAATATTCATATTAATAATAATAATTGGATATTTTACAAAATTAATAATGAATTATGTAATAATAGTACAATTATAATTTTATGGATTATTAAACTCAATAAACAAATAATATTTTAAGAATTTAAAATAACAATATTATTTCAATAACTAAATAAATTGTAAATAACTAATTTCACTTATATTAATTAATAATTATAGAAAATAACTATCAACAAAATTATATTTATTAGTAATAATTTTACAATAATAGTGTATATTCATAAGATATTTATATATACTATAAATAATATTTATTTTACTTTCAATAAATATTTATTGTTTTTTATAAATATGTTTTCAATAATTATTTATAAATGTATTTTTATTTTTTTTATTTAATAGAAATTTAACAATAATTGTTGGAGATTAAACAACTATTATTTAACTTTTGAAATTTAATTTATCGTATTTATTGTATATTTGTTATAAATTTACTTTTACTAATTATATATTTTTTATAATTTATAGATTCTAATATATATATTGGTCTGTCCACTTCACCATACCTCTCCTTGCTTCAAACCCCCCTTCCTAATTTTCTGTTTTTTTTTTTACTTTTTTATTTTCTTAATTCAACATAATTACCCATTAAACCAATAAGGAAATCACATTTGCTTAACTATTTCTAACAACCATAAAGAAAGAGGGATTTGCTTTTCTAATGTTCAGCCAAGTGGCATCACTTTCCCCCGCTTCCTCCTAAATTGTCTCTAATTCTTATTTATCTCTTAAATTATCTCTTAACTCCTATTTATCTCTTAAATTATCTCTAATTTAGTAGAGAGATTCTCTCATAAACTATCTCTAATTCCTATTTATCCTCTCCCCCACTTTTTATCTATATCTATCTAAAGAAAGTTTCGATTAAAAAAATTCAGAACTATTTAAATGTTATAACAAAATTATATACTAAATTTAAAATATTTATTCAAAACACAAAATTAGTAGATTTAATAATATTCATAATATTAATAATTCAATATTTTTACAATGAAATTATGTAGTAACAATATAAATTATAATTTTATAAAGTATTCAATTTAAATGTTATTCAAATAATAAAAATTTAACATTGAAAAATAAAATATTATTTAAATATTTCAATAACTAAAAATATTAAATAAAAAACATCAAAAATAGCTAAATAGTATAACAAAATATTTAATATTACGTAATCACATTAAAATAAATAAAATTCAAATAATGAAAATTTTTAAATATTTTACATATTATTTAAATATTTAATATGAAAAAATTATAAATAGTTAAAATAACGAAATTATTTAATAAATTTAAAAAAAATTCTCAAAAGTAGAAAAATAATTATAATAGAATTCATAATAATCATATTAATAATAATTTAATATTTTACAAAATTAATAACGAATTATGAAATAATAGTACAATTATAATTTTATGGATTATTAAATTCAATAAATAATTAATATTTTAAGAATTTAAATAACAATATTATTTCAATAACTAAATAATATTGCAAATAACTAATTTCACTTATATCAATTAATAATTATAGAAAATAACTATCAACAAAATTATATTTATTAGTAATAATTTTACAATAATAGTGTATATTCATTATATGTTTATATATACTATAATTAATAAATGTATGTTTATAAATACATTTATAAAATGTATTCATTATATATTTACAATAATATTGTTTTTTTATAAATATGCTTTCAATAATTATTTATAAATGTTTTTTTTGTTATTTAATAAAAAATTATCAATAATTATTGGAGATTAAACAACTATTATTTAACTTTTGAAATTTAATTTATCGTATTTATTGTATTTTTGTTATAAATTTATATTTAGTAATTATATATTTTTTATCATTTATAGATTAATACTTATTAGATATTAAACTATTATTTAAGATTACACTATTTATTGACTAATTTAGTTTATTTTCAGTAATTATTATATTTTTGTAATTATTATATATCTATTATATTTTCATTATAAACTTATTTTTAATGATTGTGTACTTTTGCTATAAATTTTCAATAACTATTGGAGATTAAACTATTGTTATTTATTAGAAATTAGACTATAAATTTAGTTGAAATTAGGAGTGTTCAATGATTGGTTCAGTTCAGTTGCAGTTGCAGGCTGTTTCGCCAACCAAATCAATCTGGTCAAGTCCGCAGTTTGTCACTCGAAACCGATCGATTGACCATTAGCAAAAACCCACCAACTCGAGTTGTATCGATTTGGATCTATTTTCGGTTTAGTTTGTTCAAAAGATTTAAACTTAAAAATTAACTTTAAATTTCATAAATTACAATGATATTATTAAAAAATAAATTACAAAAATTAAATCTATGATATAAAATATTTTAGATTAACAAATATGGGAATTTTCCTACTTTTTCGTATTAAAAAATTAAATTTAAAATATAAAATATTAATATATATTTATTAAACCAAAACTGATTTGAAATACTAGAAAACCGACCAACTCGGGTTGAATTGATAGGATTGTTTATTAAAAAGTTAAAATATAAAACACTTATATACTCTTATGTATTTCTATTGATAGGATTGTCCCCGTCACCATGCCTCCTTGTTCCATTATCCCCACCCTGCATTCTCTTTGACTTTCTCTCCTCTCCCCTTCCCACCACTCTCATCAAGCCATGTCACCCAACTACCTAAAAATATTCCTATAAACCAATAGGAAAGTATCATGTTGCCCCGCTCCCTAATCAATTCCTAAAATGCATCCCACCAATCTATATCTCCTCTCCCTCATTTAAACTATTCATATTAATTAATAAATAGTTAAATACAGTTAATATTTAATCCCACCCATATTCAATGAGTATTAATTAGTGTTATTACCAAAAGTTAATAAATACAATTAGTAAATTACCAAAAATTAAATATTCTTATTAATACGGTTAGTAAATTACCAAAAAATAATAAATATTGTTATTAATTAACTCATTAAAACTCTTTTAACTAATTTCTATAAGATTGAGAATTATATTTAACAATTATCAAAAGGTATAAAAGTTTAGTTATTGTTATTATTATAATTAATAACCAAATACAAATGAGGGAACAAAATATTATAATGTTAGAAAATGAAATTATTAATTAATTTATATTGAAAAGTAAAAGATAAATTAGTGTAATTTTGTTCGAAAACTACCAAATAAAAATATATTTAATAACAATTTAAAAAAAATCAATAAATCCCCATAGTTACACAAATGTAATAAATTTTTCAAAAATTTTCATAAAATAACATATTTGAAATTAAAAGATACAAATGTAATAAATGCATTAAATAATTATTGAAAATTATTAGAATATTTTGGAAATTTTAGGAAAATTTATTACATTTGATAGATTTTGGAAAACCATTAAAAATTATGTAATTTTCATTGCAA